CTCCATTACAGGCAAATACTTTAAGTATGGATAATTAATCGCTTCCTTGAGGATTAAGTGAAATACTATATGTAAAGCACTTTCATAGTTCTTCAAGGGTGCTAATTGTTCAAAAAAGTAATGAGAAGTGTGATTCCTGTCAGTATGGAGTAAATAAACTCCACCCTATGTCTCACACTGAATACAACTAACAACCTTGGACAGAATTCATGGAGCAGTTATATGAGGACACTGAAAAGAAAACGGTAGCAGGCTTATGGGGGAATGGAACTAGAAATGGAAATACCACACACACACCCCCCACCCCCAAACAGCAGTCAGTTTCTCCATTTTCTTTTCTTTGATATTTCCTATCCTGGATCAGTAGCAGTTCAAAACCCAGAACAGTCTGCTGGGTATGGAAAGAAAGAGCTTCAGGAGATGCCCTCTATTATTATTATTTTTTTAAGATACTTAGCCCCTATAGGGAAATTCCCTATTTCCATTTGTTTTGTTTTTCCTTTCTCTCCAGTGCCAGTCCCCAAACAGTGCCTTAGCAACTGCAGAGGCAGTGGCAGTCAAGTAGATACTTAAAACTTTGGGGGAGAGGAACTCTTATGCTGGTCAGAGAAACTGGTTCCTAGGATAGCCCCATTCTTTTTTTTTTTTTTTCTCTTTCTCTCATCTTGCTGCTCAGTCCTAGAGGTGCATAGTCATGGGATGTGTACAGTAGAATTAAACTGTTGTTTTCTAGCCAGAGGAAGAGGAAGAAAAACCTCTGTGAGCCACAAAGAGTAGGGAAGAATCACAGAGAGGAGGGAACTTAAGAAAACAATTTTATAATTGTATCTGAAATGAGCTTGCCCGCCAGGGGATCCATATGCATAAATCTAACCTCAAACATTCTACCAAAATTTTTGAGAAGTGATTTACAGGGGAAACCATTGCCCAGACCCCAGGTGGTCATGGGGTGGTACACAAGTGGGACAGATTCAGATAGCACTGCAAAAGTTTTTAAACTAAATTGACAATAGAACCATAGGTCACAGAATTAGGCAGGAAAACTGTTACTGAAAACTAACCAGATTTTAAAAGTTCCGCATCAGATTCGAACAAACCTGAAAATCACATATGATAATATTAAGAATTGCTAATATACAGTACAAAATTCCTTCCAAGTGAGGAAGAAAGAAAATCTCAACATTTAGCAAGGGAAAAGGCAATTAAATAATACCAAACCCTGGGTAGGGCTTCCCTGGTGGCTCAGTGGTAAAGAATCCACCTGCCAATGCAGGAGACGTGGATCTGCTCCCTGGGTAGGGAATATCCCCTGGAGAAGGAAATGGCAACCCACTCCAGTATTCTTGCCTGGGAAATCTCATGCACAGAGGAGCCTGGCAGTCTACAGTCCATGGAGTTGCAAAAGAGTCAGACATGACTTAGTAACTAAACAACAACCGCAACAAAATGCAAATTAGAACCACAACAAGAAACCACCATACACCTAACAAAATGGCTAAAAATATTTTTAAACATAAAATACCAAATGCTGGCAAGAATGTGAAGCAGTGAGAACTCTCATATGCTGTTCAGTTCAGTTCAGCTCAGTCACTCATTCGTGTCCGACTCTTCAGTCATTCGTGACCCATGGACTGCAGCACACCAGGCCTCCCTGTCCATCACCAACTCCCGGAGCTTACTCAAACTCATGTCCATCAAGTCAGTGATGCCATTGAACCATCTCATCCTCTGTCATCCCCTTCTCCCACCTTCAATCTTTCCCAGAATTAGGGTCTTTTCCAATGAATCAGTTCTTCGAATCAGGTGGCCAAAGTATTGGAGTTTCAGCTTCAGCATCAGTCCTTCCAATGAATATTCGGGACTGATTTCCTTTAGGATGGACTGGTTGAATCTTCTTACAGTCCAAGGGACTCTCAAGAGTCCTCTCCAACACTACAGTTCAAAAGCATCAATTCTTCAGCACTCAGCTTTTTTTATGGTCCAACTCTCACATCCATACATGACTACTGGAAAAACGATAGCTTTGACTAGACAGATCTTTGTTGGCAAAGTAATGTCTCTGCTTTTTAATATGCTGTCTAGGTTGGGCATAATATTTCTTCTAAGGAGTAAGCATCTTTTAATTTCATGGCTGCAGTCACCATCTGCAGCGACTTTGGAGCCCAAGAAAATAAAGTCAGCCACTGTTTCCACTGTTTTCCCATCTATTTGCCATGAAATGATGGGACCGGATGCCATGATCTTAGATTTCTGAATGTTGAGCTTTAAGCCGGACTTTTTCACTCTCCTCTTTCACTTTCATTAAGAGGCTCTTTAGTTCTTCTTCACTTTCTGCCATAAAGGTGGTGTCATCTGTATATCTGAGGTTATTGATATTTCTCCCAGCAGTCTTGACTCCAGCTTGTGCTTCATCCAGCCCAGCGTTTCTCATGATGTACTCTGCATATAAGTTAAATAAGCAGGGTGACAATATACAGCCTTGACATACTCCTTTTCCTATTTGGGACCAGTCTGTTGTTCCATGTCCAGTTCTAACAACTGCTTCCTGACCTGCATACAGGTTTCTCAAGAGGCAGGTCAGGTGGTCTGGTATTCCCATCTCTTTCAGAATTTTCCACAGTTTGTTGTGATCCACACAAAGGCTGTGGTATAGTCAATAAAGCAGAAATAGATGTTTTTCTGGAACTCTCTTGCTTTTTTGATGATCCAGCGGATTTTTGGCAATTCGATCTCTGGTTCCTCTGCCTTTTCTAAATCCAGCTTGAACATCTGGAAGTTCATGGTTCATCTACTGTTGAAGCCATGTACTTCTCATGGGAATGCTGCTCATGGAAATGAAAAATGCTGCTTATGGGAATGAAATGAAAATTGGAAGAATGAAAATGCTACCCATGGGAATGAAAAATGATTCTGCCATTCTGGAAAAGCAGTTGGGAAATTTTTGTAAAGTTAAACATACACTTGCCCTATGACTTGCAGTTCACTCCTGGTATTTACCCTAGAGAAATGAAAACATATGTTCACCCAAAAATCTGTGCATGAATCTTAGTAGCAGCTCTATTCATAAATACCAAATACTGGAAAAAACCCAAATGCCCTTGAACAAATGAAGGGATAAACAAGCAGCGATATACCCATTTAATGGTGTACTACTCAGTAATAAAAAAAGAATGAATCAAAGATACATGCAACTACATGAATGAATCTCAGTGACATTATGCTAAGTGAAGGAAGCTAGTTGCAAAAGGTTACATATTCTCTGCTTCCATTGATGTGACTTTCCGGAAAAAGTTAAACTATAAGAACAGAGAATAGATCGATGGCTACCCAAGGCTTACAGAGGGGAGGGTTTGGCTAAAAGGGAAGTTTAAAAAAAGTGTTCTTTTTTGCTTTCCTTTTGGCCAACAATTTGTGATGAAATTGTTCTGTATCCTGACTGTGGTGATGGTTATGCAAAATTATACATGTGTTAGAACTGCACACCAAAAAAGTCCATTTTTACTATTGTTGTTTTTGCTGTTTAGTTGCTAAGTAGTGTCCGACTCTTTTGTGACCTCATGGACTGTAGCTCCTCTGTCCATGCGATTCTCCAGACAAGAATACTGGAGTGGGTAGCCATTCCCTTCTCTGGGTGATCTTCCCAACCCAGAGATTGAACTTGTTCTCCTGATTGGCAAGCAGATTCTTTACCACTGAGCCACCAGGGAAGCCCATTTTTACTATATGTAAATTTTTAAAATAATTTTAAAATAATAGCAATTGATAGAGTTTATATTGTTTCAGATAAGACTTTAAGTAACTCTTTTTAATTGCAAAATGCTGGCTAATTATCTTGTTACACATAAACCCTAAGAAAAACATTTGTGGCCAGAACTTACTTAAAAAGGTGAGCCCCGATCCTTGAAGAGCTGCTTACCTCACATTCTGCTTTTTACCCCTTTGGTGCTCGCACTTTCTTTCCTCTCCCCTCTCTCAGTTGCTCCACTCTGTCTCCTCTTCCTCTCCTCCTCCTTTTCTGTGCTTTTGACTTTGTCCTAGCTTAACTGGTCATATATTAACCCAAGGTATGTAGTTTACATTATATTTTTTGCCACTTAAAAAAAAAAAAAAACCAAAAACTTATACACCTTGTTTTTTTTTTTTTCAGTCAAATGACTTGAACACTTTATATTTCTCCCTCAAAATTAAAATATTCTATCAAATTACTTAAAGTTGAATTTTACCTGTGAATGATTTTCAATGCTGACATTTCCCCCTTAATTGCTCAGGGGTTCTCAAGAAAAAAACAAAAACTTCCCCTTGCTCTGGTCAGGTGAAAAGGCAGATTTTTTCCTGCCTAAAGTTGATATAACTTTCATTGTCTTACATTATGAAGATGAAAGTTTATATAGTCTAGATTCTTTTTTTTTTTTTAATTACATCAAAAGTGAAATTGCGTATTTTTAAAAATTTCTTTGGAGAGAGGCACATACAGCAATAGCGCATTCATTTTTAGGTAAATAACCCCTCTGAAGTCAACATATTTGTTTACAACTAAATAGCTACACGTAAAACAATCATCTCAGAGACTGATGTAAGGTTAACTTACAAATGGTTGGTGACAAACAAGCAGCCATTTGTATGTAAAGGTGATAATCAGGAATTAAATTGAGCATTAGAAAAGATGTCAGATTATGAAGAAAAATAGGTTTGGGAGATTGTATTAAGGAAAAGATTTTATCTAGACTTACATGGTGATCATTTCATGATATATAAAATTATTGAAACATGTACATCCAAAACTAACATAATATTATAAGCCAATTATACTTCAGTAATAAAAGGAAAAAAGATGAGCTGTATTAAGAAAAAGAAGAAAAAACTTGCTTGTGGATTTACAAGGGAAAGGCTAAAAAAATTTTGGTAGACTAAGAATTTTTGTACAAATAGAAATTTTGAACCAGCTTATCATATAACAAGATAGCTTTTTTTGCATAAACCAAAGAGAAAAGATGTCTTACTCTTATCTCCATTGCCATCTTCATGTTTTATTCCACTGCCCTTTTCATCTTCATCTTCTGAGTTTTCTACTTCCTGAATAACCATCCTTTTCCCCTTGGTTTGAGTCTTAGATGCAGGTTCAGAATTTTTCAGATCTCTTTCAACCTCTGACAAGGTTTTCTACAACATAATCACCATGTTAAAGAAAATTTTTTTCTTTAGTAAAAAATACAACTATTCTTGCAGGTAATAATATGAAGATATTGAAAAGTGAATAAAGATAACTAAGATAAAGCTTTTTATGGTGGTCTTTATTTTTTCTTTTCAAACAACTTCATTGATTTCTCTGATTATAATTATATATTTATATTGCAAAAAAAATAAAGTATAACAAGCATAAAAAAGGGAAAAAAACTATCTGCAATCCTGCCTCTCAGATAAACTACTGATATTCTGATGATCATCTTCCTAGATATGTTTGTATGCATATAAACTTGCAGACATGTCCAAAAGTTTTATAAAAATTAAACCATACTACTCATGTTTTTAAAGAGTAATATTTAAAGGTTTGGCAGATTTGCTTGTATCCCATTGTAAAGGAAATCAACCCTGAATATTCATTGGGAGGACTGATGCTGAAGCTGAAGCTCCAATACTTTGGCCACCTGATGTGAAGAACTGACTCATCTGAAAAGATCCTGATGCTGGGAAAGATTGAAGGTGGGAGGAGAAGGGGATGACAGAGGATGAGATGGTTGGATGGCATCACTGACTCGACGGACGTGAGCTTCAAGCTTACGTCAGTTACCCTGGCCACCAAGTTCCACAGGGGCAGCAGAAGGCCCAGATAGGTACTACACACTCAGTGGGTTTGTGTCACAGCTGAGGAATCTCAAATTTAGAAAACTCAGCACCCATATTTTATAATGTTGTTGTTGTTCAGTCGCCCAGTCATGTCCAACTCTTTGCGACCCCATGGACTGCAGCACTCCAGGCTTCCCTGTCCTTCACTGTCTCCTGGAGTTTGCTCAAACTCATGTCCGTTGAGTTGATGCCATCCAACCATCTCAGCCTTCACATATGAAGAGCCAACTCACGGGAAAAGACCCGGATGCTGGGAAAGACTGAGGGCAGGAGGCGAAGGGGGAAACAAAGGCTGAGATGGTGGATGGCATCGACTCAATGGACGTGAGTTTGAGCAAACTCCAGGAGCCAAACTGTTGCAAAGAGCTGGACATGACTGGGCGACTAGACAACAACATTATAAAATATGGGTGTTGGGACACGAGTGTGAGCAAGCTCTGGGAGTTGGTGATGAGCAGGGAAGCCTTAGCTCATTGGCATGCCATGCCATGAGTAACAAAATCTTCTGTGCCTGACCCAGGAGTCCTGTCTATTCTTCTAGGCCACCTTGCTAAGTGTTAAGTAGGGTAAAGTCTCAGACTCTTCATAGTTTTTGACACTTACCTCCACTCTCTAGGTCTGAACACAGATCCCCAAAGTACATATCTGAGTCAGTTTACTGTCAATGATGCTATGCTTACCATGCAAGTTAAAGGAAGAAACACTCTTTTATAGCCATTAAGCTCATGCCTAATCCTACCTAGGAACTTCTATACCACTCTGCATAATAAACTGAAATTGGCTCAAAGAAAAGGATTGCCTACAATGCTGCAGGAAAGAGAAAATTATTTATCCTTTAGGAGTAGGTTAATGATTTTGTACAATTTAAGAGTCTGCTTTCTTTTACTTCAAATACATGTTAACACCGGGGGTGTCTGAGATGTATCTACTTCTTAAAGTTGTGTCCTATTCATTCCTCAATATCATTTATCCAGCAGGGCTGGTATCATCTTAACATAAACTCAGAAAAAGCAAACTATAGAATTAGGTGAGGGATTGCTTTCTTTACTTACTTTGGCCAATTCATTATCAGGTTCAACAGCCAGTACTTTATTCAAGTCTTCCATAGCTTCCTGGAGCTTGTTTTGATGCTTATATGTGGTGGCACGGCGCAGAAGAGCTGAAAATTTATCAAAACAAAAGTTTTTTTTTTTTAACATATGGCATTCTGATTACGACACATTTTTCAAGGGGAATAATTTAAAATGCAACTGTGCAAACCAGACCCCTTTTCATATTCTTACAAATATAGAAAATGATCCTGAGGTCAAACAGAAAAGGCTGCAATAAAAAACTGTCCCTTCCAACAGCCTGGCCCTCTGACAGCTCCAGGCTCTGCCAGTTCCTCTAAGGCTGAGAGACTCCATATCTTAACCCTTTGGAGGCACCACGCTGTGCTACAGTATTGGGAAGCTCTTCACTAAATAATATGTTCCTCCTTATAATCATGACTATTATTTCTACTTTCTGAAAACTTAGAAAGCCTTTCATTTAAATCTGGTATTTATATAAATAACCAAGCACCTAACTCAGAATATGGGTCCTTAGTGAAGTCTTTATAGCAATTTAAAATGAATAGGAACTGAGAGAATCTTGGTGTTTAACTCAGCTAAGTTCAGAAATTGCACACTTTGGTAAATTGTATCAGAGAATTTTTGAAGGTTACAACATATAATTTTTAATACTAAAATGAATGCCATCATAGTCCCATCATGATTAATTATGTCATAAGAGAATTTTGTGTAGTAAGCCATGATTTTGAAAAGAATCAGGCTTTCTAATTCTGGAATTTATATCTGATTCTGTAATTTATATCTGATTTACTTTAATAACACTATTTTAAAACATAAATTTGGATAGTTTTAGTCTTAGAATGAGCCAGGAAAATCTAGAGGATAAATCATGTCATCATTAACATAAGCAAAATTATAGCATAAATACAAACTGAGCTATTACTGTTACTACTCAGATTTCAGAAGGAACTGTCCATAAAGAAATATTCATGATATAACAATTACCATTTTAAAAAACTCTTTATTTTGGAAATAATTTCAGATTTACAGAAAGTTGCAAAGCTAATCCAGATAGTTCTCATATACCCCCACCCAGCTTTAAGGCTAATATCTTACATAACTATATTTACCAAAACTAAGAAATATTGTTAACTAAACATTAGGCTTTATGTGGATTTCACCAATTTTTCCACTAATGTTCATTTTCTGCTTCGGGTTATAACCATGCTGCATTTAGAACAATTACTTTTTGAGTGAAAAATAAAGTTTCAAAGAGGATGATATTTATCCACTTAAAAAACCTAAGAATTCTTGATGTTTTATGGCCATACTGATTACTAGATTTGGCTCTGTCAAATTTGTTTTTTTTTAAATAGTGAAGATTCTGGTGCTTAAGAAATTATTCAGATGGGGAAAAATGAAAACAGAAGACCATTCTAGTGCAGAAGAGTAGCACAGTGGCTGAATGTGGACCCTGGAGTCTCACGCAGTGTCAGGTCCTGGCTCTGTCACCTAGCAGCTGGGTGATCTTAGGTGAGTTGCTCAGTCTCTCAGTATGTCCATGTCCTTTTGTGAAATGAGTGTGCCAGTAACAGCTGTTGTTGTTTAGTTGCTAAATCATGTCTAACTCTTTTGCGAACCTGTGGGCTGCATAGTCCACCAGTCCCCTCTGTCCTTGGGATTTCCCAGGCAAGAATACTGGAGTGGTTTGCCATTTCCTTCTCCAGGGGATCTTCCAGACCCAGGGATCAAACTCGTATCTCCTGCATTGGCAGGTGGGTTCTTTATCACTAAGCCACCTGGCAAGTCCACTAAAAACAGTACCTGCACCTTTACTGAGCTGTTGTGAAAAGTAATGGAGTTAATACATGTACTCCATGGCACAGGGCCTGGCACAGTGGTGGTGTGGGGACTGTAAAACCTTCACCGGGCACCTGCCTAAAGCTAGGATCCCACCCATATGCTGTGACAGAGACAACATAGAAGCAAAGAAGAACTTTACTGGGGAGAGGAGGGCGTCCGTGATGATGACAGTGGGGCTGATGTACCAGAATCCATCCTTAGCACACCCATGGTTTCTGCCCACCCATGTTTGTAGGCATGTGGAAAAAACAGTAAGTGGTTGTATTTATCTGAATCCACAGTATTTAGAAATAGAATGAATCTATTATAATTTATGCCTCTCCCGTTTGGGATGACTCCTTGATGACAGAAAAGGAGGGTAGAGTCTGACTTGCATACTTCAGGCTTGGACCACAAGAAGGTGGTGTAGTCACCGAGATGGGAAATCGGAACAGAGGACAGGTGTTGGTGGAAAGATGTAGTCAGCTTTGGACACACTTAATTTAAAATGGTCTATGGACATCTAGGTGGTAAAACCCAAAAAGCAGCTGGTAGAACATTTTAGAGTTCTGGTGTGGGCTTATTAATAAATATTTTTTAAATCTATATTAAATCATACTTAAATTTTATTTTTTTAGATAAAAAGATACAGTTCAATAAGCCAGTCAGAAAAAGATAAATACTATATATATGATTTAATTTACATGAGGTGCCTAGAATAATAAAATCACAGAGACAGAGAGTAGACTGGTGGTTACCAGAGGCTAGGGTGGGTAGAGAGTTGCTGTTTCATGGGTACCTTTTCAAGATTAAAAAAGTTCTGTGGGTGGACAGTAGAGCTGACTGCACAACAATATGAATGTACTTAAGACCACCGAACTCTGTACTTAAAAATGATTAAGATGGTAAAATTTTGTGCTATGTCAATTTTACCCCAAAATTGAAAGGAAACAAAAAACCCACAGACTACAGTTCAAATGCAAGTGTGAGATAGTTCTTTAAAAATGCATGTAGGATTTCCCTGGTAGTCCAGTGGTTAAGAATCCAGCTGCCAGTGCAGGGGACATGGGTTCGATCCCTGGTCGGGGAAATAAGATCCCACATGGCGAGGGGAACTAAACCCATGCCTGGCAACTACTGAAGCCCTTGTGCCCTAGAGCCCCTGCTCCACAACAAGAGAAGCCACTGCAGTGAGAAGACTGCGCATCACAATGAAGAGTGGCCCCCACTCGCCACAACTAGAGAATGCCTGTGGGCAGCAATGAAGACCCAGTGCAGCCAAAAAAAAAAATTAAAAAACAAAAACATGTACACTTTATTCAATCATCTGGGGTTACTAGCTACTTCAGTGCAAGTAATTAAGAAGTTAAATCCCAAGTTAAACTTGAAATTCAAAGTAACTTGAGGAAAGTTATGATTCACATACAGAAATTTGAATTTTTTTTTAGTGTAAACATAATGAGTGTCTACAAATGACCTTCAACAGATGGTGCTGCAAATTTAAAGGTATTCTATTAAAATTTTTTACCCTTTAAGTTCCCAGGTTCTAACTCCAAGACCTTTTCACAGTCCTGAAAAGCACTGTTCCAGTTCTGCAGTTTGAGTTCTGCTTGAGCGCGATTGTTGTAAGCTGCTACGGTGGGAAGCACAGACAAACTCCTATAAAAGAGACACTTTTTTAAAAGTTTTTAATATTTTATTGTGGTAAAATGTATGAAAGAGACATTAATGTCAACAAATGAATGACAGGAAAACATAAAATGGAGAAACTCAGCTAAAGTTAGAAGCTAAAACAATCACAGCTCATGTTGTGGGTAGAATTGCATCCCCACAGACTTGTATGTTGAAGTCCCACCCCCCAGCACCTCAGGGTATAACTATACTTGGAGATAGTCTTGAAAGAGATGATTAAGTTAAAGTGAGGTCATGAGGGTGTTTCCTAATCCACTATGACTAGTATCCTTATAAGAAGACACACCTAGAGGAAAGATCACTTGAGGACACAGAGGGAAGATGGTCACAGACAAGCCAAGGAGAGAGGCCTTAGAAGAAACCAACCCTTAGGACACCTTGCTGTCAGACTTCTGGCCTCCAGAACTGTCAGACAATACATTTCTGTTGTTTTAAGTTGATCAGTTTGTGGCAGTTTGCAGGGCAGCCCCAGCAAATTAACACAGCATGTGCTGTCAAAAGTAATAACATAAAATTCTACAAACTACTAAATCAATGTTTAGACAGATGCTTAAGTATCTAGTGAAAAGGTTTAAAATTGATTCTGGCTTTAGAAGTGACATGATAATTTAAATACCCATACTGTTGGCTGCTAAGTTGCATTAGTTGTATCCGACTCTTTGCAACCCCATGGATCATAGCCCGCCAGGCTCCTCTGTCCATGGGATTCTCCAGGTAAGAATACTGGAGTGGGCAGCCGTTCCCTTCTCCAGGAGCTCTCCCCAACCCAGGGATCAAACCCAGATCTTTGCCATTGCAGGCGAATTCTTTACCATCTGAGCCACCAGGGAAGCCCTTAAATACCCACATAGATCTCAAAAAAAGCCAGTTTAGTTAACATCAATTTTTTTTTACTCTTTGGGGATAATTTCCTAGTAAAAAGAAACAAGCAAATAATGATCAACCACAACTAATACCCTTTGTTAAATTATTATTGTGTTAACAGACACAAATTAGTCTGTTATCTAAAAGTAGATTTAACTCTTAGGAAATAGTCATAATCTTACCAAAGGATTTTAACTGAAGGAAACAGGAGAGAGCAGTAGTAATTGAGGAATACAGACCTTAAGAGAGGAAGTTTTGCCACACTAAATGTATGAATGCAATATAATTAATGAAAAGAAGAATTTTAAACCTACCTGGATATTGCTTATAAAATTGATTTGAAATGCTGTAAAATAATGTATTTGCTAGGGACTTCTCAGGTGGTCCAGTGACTAAAACTCCATGCTCCCAATGCAGTGGCCAGGGGGTTCAATCCCTGGTCAGGGAAATAGATCCCGCATGCTGCAACTAAGAGCTCGCATAACACAGCTAAGATTCCACACTGCGCAATGGAGATCTAAGACCCTGCCTGCTGCAACTAAGACCTAGTACAGTCAAATAAATAAATACTCTCTATATAGTTTTAAAATAATGTATTCCAAAATATAGGAACGATAAGAGTATTGGTACACTGAATCTTCTAAATCCAGAATTACAATATAAGATAAAAATGGAAAACTCACAAAAAGTGTCCATTTATTAAGATCATTAGGGGAGATTTCCCAGGTGAGAATACTGGAGTGGGTTGTCATTTCCTTCTCCAAGGGATCTTCCCAACCCAGGGATCGAACCCACATCTCCTGCATTGGCAGGCAGATACTTTATTGCTGAGTCACCTGTGAAGCCCCACAAGATCATTAAAGATGAATATAAATAAATCACATGGTTGGGTAGCAGTCAAACATAGAAAATACATGTAAGAATAAATAACACAAGAACCTGACACTGAGTACCTCCCACATGCCAGACACTAAACATTAAACTCACTTAATCCTCATTATAATGCACAGAGGAGGAATTACTGCTTTCCCAATCTTACAGAGGAGAAAACAGATGGGGCACAAAGGTTACATAACATGCCCAAGGCCACAAGCTTGAAAATGGCAGAGTCAAGATTCAGACCTCAGTGGTCTACTCCAGCGCCTGTTCTCTTTACCATCATGTTACCCTGCCTTTCAGCAACTTGTTTTATTTAATCCTCACAGCTGCTCTGAGGTTGGCACTATTATAGCCTCATCACATTGAGATGACTGAGACAAAAAAAGTGAAGAATCTACCCAAGGTCAGAAAAGTGGCAGTTTAAGTTCCCTTAACCATTGCAATATGCTGCTTTAGTTCTTCACCTCTATGATTTCTTCAAAGAGGAGGGCAAGAAAAAGTTTGTTCCTTTTAATAAACAAGAGATTCTCCACTGGCAGAAATCTATAAGAAGAGAGAAAACAATACCAGAGCTGACATCCACCTGCCTAAATAGGGGAGGCTGAACTGAATGAATGATACCTCAATATCCTCTTTACTTTGTATGTTCACTTCAACAGCTGAGCAAACTTCTTTAGAGACACAAACAACATTAAAAAAAAAAAAACAAAAAACTTCTTTCCAAAGGCAGAAGCACGATTTTATAGCATTTAGTTCTATTAATAAGATAGCGTTAGTGGTTCTATAAGCACAGTTTGTCTATAACAGTATTTTAAGAAATTAGTTTACTTTTCACAGACTATAAGAGCTTCATACGTTCATATAAGCATACAATGAACATGTACTGTGAACCAGGTATTGTCTGGGCATTAGGGATCCACTGGTATTTTTAAAAATGACAAGTGGGCTCAATCTTACAGAGTTTATAGTCCAGTTAGTGCCAAATCACACAAACTTGAATCATACCTCCAACAGATATTACAAAGAGGTAAAATTACTATATGGGTTTGCAAATTTGACAGTGGGTGCAGGGGGCGGGGGTTGTTGGTGCAGTAATTGAGTCAGGTAGAGGTTTAACCTGGTCTGAGAAGTAAAGGAAAACTTCACAAAAGAAGTAAGGCATGGGCTGAGATCTGGATTATAAATTAGAATTAACTAAATAACAAGTAGAGGAAAGAGTAGTCTAGACAGAGGCTCAATATATGCAAAGGCCTGTGGTGGGAGGTAGCACCATAAGTACTAGATCCGGGCAGTCTGCTATAGAACCTGAGATTTTAACCTCTGTCCTGAATGAACTTTCTGTTGAGTTCCATCCAGACAGCTTCTATTTCCTCTGTAAAAGAGTAAAGTTAGAACCTCTGTCAAACATGGGAGTGGAGTGGGGGCTTGGAGTTTTAAGAAAAGTATTGAAAAAGCAAGGCAAACACAAGTGAATTTATGATAAATTGCAACTACAATATACTGAGTGTTTGTGACACATTATTTAGCTTATTTATATCATTTCAACAACTAAACACTATCATTTTTTAAATGACAAGATTAAACCACATCAAAAATCTGCTTACCGAGTATAGTACTTTACAGCTTCTTCATAATCTCCTGACTTAAAAGCTTCATTTCCTTTTTCCTTTTCACGAGTAGCCAGAAGATCCTTTTCCTTTTCAGTCAGACCTAGAAATAAATGTTATCTGCTGTAAGTATATATATAACTTGATAGAATTTTCCAAATTTAAATCCGAAAATGCTTATTTTAACAAAAGCAGAAAACTATAAAAACAAATAAAAGGTTCCAAAGTTTATGATATTTCTATTCTTTTAATCATTCAGAATTTTTGAAGGTTTAGATTTCTCAATAATTGTTTTGCTTTACTTTAAAGGTACTATGTACCTGTGGACTTCAAGTGAACAGAAAGTGCTCCATCTTTTTGTTTTGAGGAAAAGAAATTTGAAGGATTTGGACAAAAAAGATTTGAAAAAGGGAATGAAAACCGAATCATGGTTAAAAAAAATAGGTTTACATATTTATATATTTTTAAGTCTTACTACATTTAAGTATCATAAAAGTATCATATTATTATTCATAAAATTAAGAAGTTTAAGGATAAACTGGAATTTGTTAGACGTGGTCAGCCCTAGGAGAAAATTCATAAACTTTTCATGGAAATATGCAGCACTTAAAGAGAATGTCTTCAGGTCGACAGCTTTTACTATCATTCAAAAAAGTTAAAGACTACTAAATCATTCCTATTCCCCCTCCATTACCTGCTGTATCTAGTCTTGTCTCTATTTTAGACAAATGTGATTTGTTGTTTATTACAGTTCTTTCTTTATCTTCATCAAGTTTTGCACATTCTTTTTCCACATCAAATCTTAAATGAAAGAATAATAAAAAACTATTATAGTTTTTTAAAAGTATAGCATTAAAAGCTCAGTACAAACAAGAGACTAAAACTTATCATTGATACTCTTGTATCCGTATCACTGTACCTTTAGAAATAATATTCTAAAAATATATGATAGGTTTGTATTAGAAGTCACCTGTATTTTTTCCTAAAAAACACAGAATTTAGCAAGGACTTAAATATTAATCAGACCTAAATTGTGCAGAACTTTGTTATTATAGTAGTGACTAATTTCTCTTAATTTAAAAATTTGTTATTTTGGAGAGGTAAATATTACATTAGTTATTTTTGGTTACTCTTATAAATAAAAGGATGCCATAATTTTTTATTTAATGAAAAAACAAAATCAAGAGTGCTTAATCCAAATACTCTTAGTACTCTACTGACATAACTTACATTTGATATGTTCAGGTTTAAAATAATTAAGGAGTTATTACAGTATTTTATGACAGTGAATTTTTAGTGTCAATTTTATATAAAGAAATATAAAACATACTTATCCCACTCTGCATAATCTCTTGGAATTTTCTTTTTAGCTGGTCTACTTTTAGAATTCTTTTCCTAAAAGAATAAAATTATATTTTATGAGATATTTAATATAATGTTAGCAGATTTTCCTATAAAGGTGAAGTATTGGCTTAAGATACATGAATTGAATGCATAAGAATAAGTTACCCTTGAAGTTAGGACAGCTTCAGTATTATAATTGTTAACATAATAATACACAGGTTAATTATGAGAGTGATGAATAGGACTTTAGGTACATATGTAAAACTTTAAAATTTACATGTGTGAAATGTGATTATTATTGATTTTCTTATAATGAAAAAATATTAAACTATCATTCATTCTTTTAAAACCTAGGCATTGAAGAAATAGCTACTTTGCTGTATTAGAGCTGTTTTGCTTGCAATGACAGACACCCAAGTTGGACTAATTTTGTTTAAAAAGAATAAATTACTGGTTTGTGTAACCAAATGGATGAAAGGGCTGGGATATTGCTGGATAAAGGATTCATATGCCCTCTCTCCACCTGTCTCCTCTTCCATAGAAGTCTCTGCTTCTCTCTGCCTGATTGCTTGCTTTTTCTATGCAGTAGGAAATGTGGCTACACCCAGCCTGGGATTATAACCTCACTGGATTCCCAATCAGAAGGGAAAAGGAGACTGACTCTTCTCCCCATCTTTAGCTAGAGAAATCCCAGGGAAGGACTCTGATTAGCTAGTTCTCATTATGGGCCCATCACTGACCAATCACTAGCTTAGTGTTATTAAGTGGCTCAACCCAGGTCACATGCCCACTGCAAGCACCAAAAGGGAATGGGAGGAAAACAAACAACAACTTAAAATCGTTTCTTAAAAATCAACATTTGAAACCATCTGAATGGATACACAAGCACAATTTTGTAATATTATACACTGGTCATTAGGAGTTAACACAGGTCTTCCAAATATTCCTATGTTTCATTATACAATTAAAAATCATTATCTGTTAAAAATTTTCCTGGTGATCACCAACAGGCACATGAAAAGATGTTCAACATCACTAATCATCAGGGAAATGCAAATTAAAGCCATGAGATATAACCTCACACCTGTCAGAATGGCTATCATCAAAAAGATCAGAAACAACAAATGTTGGAAAGGATGTGGAGAGAAGACAGCTCTTGTTCACTGTTGATAAGAACATAAATTGGTGCACCCACTCTGGGAAACAGTATGGCGGTTTCTCAAAAAACTGAAAACAGAACTACCATATGATCCAGCAATTCCACTCCAAGGTATATACCAAATATTAGGTTGGTACAAAAGTAACTGTGGTTTTGAAATTGTGAATTTTAAATCATTACAACTAGGTTCAAACACATCTTTATTAATCAAAATAGGAACTGTTACAATCAACACATTTTTGCCAACGAGAAATAAGTTTGTTTATTCTTGTAGCATAAAAATCTGTGCTTCAGGATTTGATAAACTCTTGGAAAGCATTTTCTGCACCCTGCTGGTAGTAGAAGTGTTTTCCCTGCAAAAAGTTGTCAAGATGCTTGAAAGAGTGGTAGTCAGTTGGCGAGAGGTCAGGTGAATATGGCGGATGCTTCATTCAACTTCTGAAGCATCGGTTGTCATGGAGAAGAATTGGGCTCTTGCTGTTAACCAATGCCAGCTGCAGGTGTTGTAGTTTTTTAGTGCATCTCATAGATAGGCTGAGCATATACTTCTCACATGTAATCATTTTACTGGGATTCAGAACACTGTAGTGGATCAGATGGGCAGCAGACCACCAGTGACCATGACCTATTTTTGGTGGAAGTTTGACTTTGGGTAGTGCTTTGGAGCTTGTTCTCAGTCTAACCATTGAGCTGGTCATCTCCAGTTGTCATATAAAATCCAATTTTCATTGCACACCTCAATTCGATCAAGAGATGGCTCATTGTGGTTGTTTGTGTAGGAAGCGAAGACAACACTTCAAAAGAACAATTTTTTTGATTTGTGATCAGCTCATGAGGCACCTACTTATCAAGCTTTTTCACCTTTCCAAGTTGCTTCAAATGCCAAATGATGGTAGAACGGTCAACATTGAGTTCTTCAGTAACTTTTTGGATCATTTTAAGAGGATCCGTTTCAAAGATTTCTCTCAGTTGGTCGTCATCAACTGCCAATGACTGACCACTATGCTCCTCATCTTTAAGGCTCTCCTTTCCTTTGCAAAAGTTCTTGAACCACCACTGCACTGTACATTCATTAGCAGTTCTTGGGTCAAGTGTGTTGCTGATGTTGCCAGATGTCTCCGCTGCTTAACAACCGATTTTGAACTTGAATGAAAAAGTCACTTGAATTTGCTTTTTGTCTAACATCATTTCTATGAAAAAGTGAAAGTCGCTCAGTTGTGTCTGACTCTTTGCAACCCCACAGACTACACAGTCCATGGAATTCTCTAGGCCAGAATACTGGAGTGGGTAGCCGTTCCTTCCTCCAGACGATCTTCCCAACAAAGGGGTCGAACCCAGCTTTCCCGCATTGCAGGCTTATTCTTTACCAGTTGAGCCACAAGGGAAGCCCAAGAATATTGGAGTGGATGGCCTATCCCTTCTCCAGCAGATCTTCCAGACCCAGGAATCAAACTGGGGTCTCCTGCATTGCAGGTGGATTCTTTACCAATATAATATAAACAGCAAATAACTGCAGCTGTGAAATTAGAAAATGATTCCTTCTTGGCAAGAAAGCTATGACAAACCTAGATATTGTATTAAAAAGCAGAGACATCACTTTGCCAACAAAGGTCCATATAGTCAAGGCTATGGTCTTTCCATTAGTCATGTATGGATGTGAGAGCTGGATCATGAAGAAGGCAGAGCACTGAAGAATTGATGCTTTTGAACTGTGGTGCTGGAGAAGACTCTTCAGAGTCTCTTGGACTGCAAGGAGATCAAACCAGTCAATCTTAAAGGACGTCAACCCTGAATACTCATTGGAAGGACTGATGCTGAAGCTGAAGCTCTAATACGTTGGCCACCTGAATCAAAGAGCAGACTCACGGGAAAAGACTCTGATGCTGGGAAAGACTGAAGGCAGAAGGAGAAGAGGGTAACAGAGGATGAGATGGTTGGATGGCATCACTGATTCAATAGACATGAACTTGGACAAATTCTGGGAGATGGTGAGGGACAAGGAGCCTGGCATGTTGCAGTCCAGGGGGTCTCAAACAACAAAAATAAGTCATTAGCAAAAAAACATAAAGCAAGAAATTCAAATTAAAATAATGTATACTATAACCACATTTAAGAATGTATTCAATACAAATACCAACAATGTAAAACTGTAATTACCTTTGCACCAACCTAATAAAATGAAAACACTAATTTGAAAAGATAAATGCACCCAATGTTCACAGCAGCATTATTTACAGTTACCAAGATCTGAAGCAACCTAAGTGTCCCTCAACAGATGAATGAATCTGTTACATACAGATTCATATACAAATGAATCTATATACATACAATGGAATACTACTAAGCCATAAAAAAGAATGAAATTTTGCCATGTGCAACAACATGGATGAACTTGAAGGCTATTATGCTAAGTGAAATAAGTCAGACAGAGAAAGGCAAATACTATATGATACCAGTTGTATGTGGAATCCAAAAAATAAAACAAACGAATAAATACAACAAACAGGGAAAAGACTCACAGACATAGAGAACTGGTGGTTACCAGTAGGGAGAGAGAAGGAGAGAGTGAGGATTAGGAGGCACAAACTATTATGTAAAAAATAAATAAGGTACAAGGATATACTGTAAAATACAGGGAATATAGCCAATATATTATATTAACTATAAATGAAGTAAACCTTTAAAAATTGTGAATTACTATAAGACCTATAACTTGTATAATACCATACCTCAACTATATCTCAATTTTTTTTTAAATTAAAACTACTCACAGCTCATCATAAAAGCCATTAAGTGTCTCCCCTAAGGGGAAATTTTTTTTTATCACAAGCACCTATCTGAGAGCCCCCTAAGAATATGAAGTACTGTGAATTCCACCTCAAAGCTCAGATTTTATCACTGGCAATGAACACCATTCATTGTTTTCCTTGAAGTGACAGACCATTTCATTCATTTCCAAGAAACTGTCTGCCCAAAACTGAACTCTGAATAACCATAGCTGGTCTGTCGGTCATCTCTTCAAGTAAAAGTTGTTCCAGGAAACAGTTGCTAATCCAGCTGACAGTCAGTCACCAAGTGGGTTTTCCTATGATGATCATTACATTTCACTTCACAGTGAAGCGCCTTCTGTGAAGTCTGCCTTTTGTCATACAGAATATTAAAAAGATATGTCCTCAGGGTATCATATTTAACAGAAAGAATACATTTGTGTTGCTTTATCAAAGACGTATTTAAGCTAAATAGGAATTTCTTACTGTGAGTGCATAGCAGTGGAGAAAACAATGACCACTAGGTCAGTGAGTGCCACTGCCTTCATTCACCGTAAGGCACCGGCAGTTTTGGGCATCCCTGGCGGTCCAGGGGTAAAGAAACCGCCTGCCAATGCAGGAGAAGTGGGTTTGATCCCTGGGTCAGGAAGATCCCCTGGAGGAGGAAATGGAAACCCACTCCAGTATTTTTGTCTGGGAAGTCCCATGGACAAGGGGAGCCTGGTGGCTGCAGTCCATGAAGCTGCAAAGAGCCAGACATGACTTAATTGACTAAAGAGCAACCAGCAGTTTTACCCTTAGAGCAAATGTCAACAAAGTGAAAGAGACAAAGCATTATTTTATAACATAGTTTTTAAAATAACATTGACTTTATGGATCCCCTAGAAGGATCTCAGGGATAACCAGCATCCATGGACCATACTTTTGAGAATCACATTAGTCTGTCTACTCCTACTGGACTACAGTAAGGACACAGAGGAAATATTATTCGTTGTTATAGTTTCAGGATACAGACTTAGCACATAATGAGGGTTCAATAAATACAAATTCATTGATTACAGATAGTGTTATCCTTACTATACTTATTTACTGTGTATCTCAGTTACCTGAGTAATTCCTAATGAGGAGTAAAAAGATCCAGGAAGGTAAATTACCAAGAAGCAAAGTAATGAAGGGCTATGGATGTTTTTCAAATAAAACTGAGGGTTCAAAGAAGAAACGAGAAAAACAAAAATGACTCAACCGAAAATGAAGACAATTAGGTAACCATTCTCTTAGAGATGATAAGAATAAAAAGAAGAAAAAAAAAAGCAGGGAAAAAAGGAGGGCAGAGGCAATGGAATGTATGATTCAAGTCAAAATCCCCTGGAGGTAAGGGCTGGGATCTGTAATATCAGGGTCAGGTAGACACCAAGAAGCTCAGTTTTAACTGGAAGTTAAGGAAACCTGGAACTCCAACAGGCCCCTTCTCTATGGAAACCATGCGTTAGAAAGGAGAGACCTGCATGGCAAAATAGAGAGCAGTCTCAGAGAAATAACCATGAGGGGCTGGGGATGGGGGAGGGGGACGCGCTAAACAGAGAAATGCCATCTATAACTGCTTGAAATCCATGGATTTAATGGATTAATTAAACAGATTAATCCATCTGTTTAATGCTTTAAATCCATATTTAATTATGCAAACTATTCCTACTGTACCTCTACTGGATATATAAAATTATTCCCTGAAACATTTGCATACTCAATTGGATCTTAAGTACTCATCAAAACTCGTCAGAGTAGAAGAGACAGAACAGTCCAAAACAAAAATAAGGGAAGCAGTAAACCCAAGATGCAAGTTCTTCAAAGGAAAACACTGTTTCACTTTGATCTCCAGGGGAGGCTTACTCAACAGTGTGAAAACAAAGGATCACCGAGAAAAAAGTCTCCAGCTGCCCAGAAGACACCACACTTTGGCTACAATGATTAAACCAAGCTAACTTCTTAATAAACAACAACTTTCTCCCCTACCACCTACCCCCCACACCAAAAAGGTACCTTGGCAACATGAAGATGGCTGTTTGAACCACGAACTGGAGGCAAATTATCTTCCACTGCTGGAAATGTTTCAGTTTCATGAAAGTGTATTTTATCATCTTCTTTTTTAATTTCTGATACCCAACTCTGGGAAGAAGAGAGAAAAAAAGAAGGTAAATATACCATTTTAAATAATTAACCAGACATTAGAAAAGACTATATATCATCATGCTATGGGTCAATTTTTAGGTGACAATTTGATCATGACATTCTCTCTACTTGAACTGTCCTTCCTACTCTGTGTTTTGCAATTATAGGGAAATACACAATAACATAAAATGTATCATCTTAACTATTCTTAAGTGTACAGTTCAGTATTGTCAGTATATTCATTTCTGCCCTTTCTACTTCATTTATCTTGTAAGATCATATTCATCACCCTTCCAGTGAGCCTTCTCTGAACTTCCTGGTTGGGACAAAAGTGTTTAGCATGAAGATTTAAAATCCTCTATTTATTGTTTGTCTCTCTTACCACACTGTAAGTTCCCTGACAGTAGAACCTATGTCTTTACCTCAAACACTCAAGCAAATCAGATTGGACTGACCACATTTTCCAACTTTAGCAGTTTGACAGAAAGGACATGCTCCTTTCTACTGGTAAATATTAATTACTTCTGATTTTTTTATACACAATGTGTTGTACTGTGCTTAGTCACTCAGTTGTGTCCGACTCTTTGTGACCCCATGGATTGTAACTGTAGCCCGCCAGGCTCCTCTGTGCATGGGATTCTCTAGGTAAGAACACTGGAGAGGGTAGTCATTCCCTTCTCCAGGGGATCTTTGTGACCTAGGGATCAAACCCGGGTCTTCTGCATTGCAGGCAGATTCTTTACCATCTGAGCCACCAAGAAAGTCCTTTATATACAATGGACAGCATAAAATATAAAAAATAACAATAAAGACAAAGAATCAGCAAAATGCTACCCATAGCCAACAGAAGCAGACACGGAGAGTGAATGGATGTTGGAAATAACAAACAGAGACTTAAAAACAGCTGCAATAAATATATGAGAAGAGTGAACAACATGCAGGAACAATTGAGAAATTCAGGAGAAGAGTGAAAACTTTAAAAAAGAATTAATGGAAATTCCAAAGATAAAAAACTCAGAACCCAAAATGAATATATTATTAAGAGTAGAATATAATATTTAGTATAATAGTATAATATAATATTTTCCTGTGGAAAATAGTGGACAAAAATCAGTAACATTATAGCAGATTCGAGCAACATTAACCAACTTGACCTAGTCAATATAGAAGTCTATGTTATTTTCAAGAGCACACGGAGCATAGGCCCATAAAAGTCTCAATAAATCTCATAGGGTTGAAATTATACAAAGTATGGAATCTGACCACAACAGACCTAAACTAGAATTCAGCAACAATAAGTATTTAGGCCATCCCCAAGAAACTGGAATTTGAATACACTTATAAAGAGTTCATGAGTTAAAAAGGAAATCAGATGGAAAATAATTTGAACTAAGGGATAATGAAAACATGACATATAATAATTTATATCACGCAGATAAAGTATTAGAGGAAATTTTACAACTTTAAACAAGAAGAAAGGTAAAAGATCAATTATTAATAGTAAAGCTTCTACCTTAAAAACTAATAGAAAACACATTAAAGCCAAAGTGAGTAGGAGGAAATAAAAATATTTTAAAAAATAAGAGTGGAAATCCATAAAACATAAAATAGAAAAAGAAAATCAACATCCAAATCCTAGTTTTTTGGAAATAAATTAAACAATTGACAAACATAACAAGACTAATCAAAAGAAAGTGAAAGGAAAAAATACAAATTAGCAGTATCAGGCATAAAAGAGGCACATCTCTAGCAATCTTACAGATATTTTTAAAAAAGATATTTTAGACGAATTTATACCAATAACTTTGCAATTTAGATAAAATAAACAAATTCACTGCCCAAGGCAATTTACAGATCCAATGCAATCTCTATCAAATTACCAATAGCATTTTTCACAGACCTAGAACAAAAATTTTTTTAAGTTTTAGAAACACAAAAGATCCTGAAGTGCCAAAGCAAGCTTGAGAAAGAAAAAGAAAGCTGAAGGATTCAGGCTTCCTGACTTCAGACTATACTACAAAGCTACAATAATCAAAATAGTATGGTACTGGCACAAAAACCATAAATACAGATCAGTGGAACCAGATAAAGAGCCTCAAAATTATCCACAAGCCTGTGGTCAATTAATCTACAATAAAGGAGGCAAGAACATACAAGAGCAAAAAGTTTCTCTGATAAATAGTGCTGGAAAACTGGATAGCTACATGTAAAAAAGGAAATTAGGATATTCTATAACACCATGCACAAAAATAAACTCAAAATGGATTAAAGACCTACATGTAAGACTGGATACCATAATACCACTAGAGGAAAACACCAGAGAATACTCTTTGACATAAATTGCAGCAATACCTTTTCCGATCCATCCCTTAGAATCATGGAAATAAAAGCAAAAACAAACAAATGGGACATAATTAAACATAAAAGCTTTTGTATAGCAAAGGAAACCATAAATAAAATGAAAAAACAGTCTACAGAATGGGAGAAAGTATTTGCAAATGATGCAGCTGACAAGGGATTCAACTTCAAAATATATAAACAGTTCACATAACTCAATATAAAAAAACTGCAAAGAACCCAACCAAAAAAAAGGCAGAAGATCTAAATAGACATTTCTCCAAAGACACACAGATGGCCAAAAGGCACATGAAAAGATGCTCAACATCACTCATCATTAGAGAAATGCAAATCAATACCCCAATGAGGTATCACCTCATACTGTCAGAATGGCCATCAATAAAAAGTCTACAAACCATAAATGCTGGAGAGTGTGTGTAGAAAAAGGAACTCTCCTATACTATTAGTGGAAATGCAATCTTGAGCAGCCACTATGGAGAATGGTATGGAGGTTCCTTAACAAACTAAAACTAGAGTTAACATATGATCCTGCAATCCCACTGCTGGGCATATATTCAGAGATAAGAAAATATACATGTACTTCAATATTCATTGCAACACTACTTACAATCGGCAAGACATGAAAGAAACCTAAATATTTATCAATAGATGAATGGATAAAGAGGATGTGGTATATTTATTCAATGAACTGTTACTCAGTCATAAAAAAAAAATGGAATAATGCCATTTGTAGTAACATGGATGGACCCAGAGATAAATCAAAGTGAAGAAACTATACTCAATACTTTAAAATAACCTATATGGGAAAAGAATCTGAGAAAAATAAGATATTAGCATATATGTGTGTATAACTGAATCACTGTGCTGTACATCTGAGAGTAACACAACACTGTAAATCATCTTCAGTAAAAAATAAATAAAAAGAATGTAAACAGATCAGGAAAAAAAAAAGGTAGAATGGTGGTTGCCAGGGGCTGGTGGTGGGGGTAGGATTGGAGAGTTATTGTTAAATGGTATGGAGTTTCAGTTTTGGAAGATGAAAAAGTTCTTGAGGTTGGTTGCATAATACTATGAATATACTTAACACTAATGAATTGTATACTTGAAAATGATAAAGATGATAAATTATGATGTGTATTTTATCACAATAAAAATAAAGAAATAAAATTTCATAATTGAAGTGACTTGGAATGAGCAAAAAGTTAAAGATGTCAACTTTTATATAAAATATAAAATAGATACTTAGGAATAAATTTCATTAAAAAATGTATAAGAAGTATACACTGAAAACTACAAACACTGCTTCAAAAAATTAAATAAAACATATATGAACAGAAAAATACATGTTCATCGATCAGAAATCTCAGTATCATCAAGATATCAATTCTTTCAAAACTGAACAACGAATTCGAAACAATCCCAACACAAACACAATTTCTATTTTATAGAAACTGGCAGGCAAAGGGCCTGGAACAGCCAAAACAACTCTGAAAACAAAGAGCAAAGTTGGAGGACTTGCACTACCTGATATGAGAAAGGAATCTGAAAAAGAACTGATATGTGTAAATGCATAACTGAATCACCTTGCTGTACATGTGAAACCAACACAACACAACACTAAAAAATCAACTATTTTGTTGCTGTTCAGTCACTAAGTCATATCTGATGTTTGTGACCCCATGGACTGTAGCATGTCAGGCTCCTCTTCCTCTGCTGTCTCCCAGAGTTTGCTCAAATTCATGTCCAGTGAGTTGGTTATGCTAACTAACCATCTTATCCTCTGCCTCTCCCTTCTCCTTTTGCCTTCAATCTTGCCCAGCATCGGAGTCTTTTCCTCTGAGTTGGTTCTTTACATCAGGTGACCAAGTTATTGGAGCTTCAGCATCAGTCCTTCCAATGAATATTCAGGGTTAATTTCCTTTAGGATTGACTAGTTTGATCTCCTTGCACTCCAAGGGACTCTCAAGAGTCTTCTCTAGCACCACAATTCAAAAGCATTAATTCTTTGGCACTCAACCTTCTTTATGGTCTGACTCACATCCCTACATGACTACTGGAAAAAACATAGCTTTGACTTTACAGACCTTTGTCAGCAACATGATGTCTCTGCTTTTTAATGTGTGTCTAGGTTTGTCATAGCTTTTCTTCCAAGGAGCAAGCATCTTTTAATTTCATGGCTGCAGTCACCATTAACAAGGATTTTGGAGTCCAAGAATATAAAACCTGTCATTGCTTCTTCCACTTTTTCCCCTTCTATATGCCATGAATGATGGGACTGGATGCCATGATCTTAGTTTTTTTAATGTTGTGTTTCAAGTCAGGTTTTTCACTCTCCTCTTTCCTCTTCATCAAGAGGCTTTTTAGTTCCTCTTCACTTTCTGCCATTAGAGTGGTGTCATCTGCATATCTGAGGCTGTTGATATTTCTCTTGGAAATCTTGATTCCAGTCTGTGGTTCACCTAGCCCAGCATTTCACACGATGCACTTTGCATAGAAGTTAAGTAAGCAGGATAACAATACAGTCTTGTGCTCCTTTCTCAGGCTTTGAACCAGTCCGTTGTTGCGTGTCCGGTTCTAACTGCTGCTGCTTGACCCGCATACAGGTTTCTCAGGAGGCAGGTCAGGTGGCCTGGTACTCCCGCCTCTTTAAGAACTTTCCCCAGTTTGTTATGACCCACACTGTCAAAGGTGTTAGCGTAGTCAATGAAGCAGAAGTAGACGTTTTCCTGGAATTCCCTTGTTTTCTCCATGATCCAGCGAATGTTGGCAATTTGACCTCTGGTTTCTCTGCCTCTTCGAAACCCAGCTTGTACATCTGGAAGTTCTTAGTTCACATACTGCTGAAGCCTAGCTTGAAGGATTTTGAGCATAACCTTGCTAGTATGTGAGTATACTCCAATACAACATTTAAAATGTTTAAAAAGACTTATTGTTATCAAGACAATGGAATACTGGTGTAAAGATAGATATTTAGATTAATGAACAGAATAGAGTACAGAAATAGAGCTACACATACAAAGTCAACCTATTTTTGGTATTCGCACCAAGAAGTTCAATGAGGAAAAGATAATCATTCATTAGATGCTTGAACATTTGGATATCCATATTGGTATATACAAATACATGCACTGTGTGTATGTATATATTTGTGTGTGTGTGTCCAAAAAATAAAACTGATCTTACACCTACATTTAAGGGTTAAAACGATAAACTTTATAGAGTCATAGGAGAAAATTTAGGGATCTTAAATTAGACAAAGTTTTCTTAAATAGGACACAAAAGCACAAACTATAAGAAAAACTGGTTTCATCAAAAGTAAAAATTTTTGCTCTTCCAAAGATGCTATTAAAAAAAAATTAAAAGGCAAGCCATACAATATCAGCAAATATCTGCAGATACATCTTCATGTGTAAAATACATTAAAGATATGTATTTTATAATTCAATAAGAACATAAACAATCTAATTTTTTAATGGGCAAAGGATTTAAAGACAAAAGAAGATATATGGATGACAAGCAAATGAAAAGACATTCAACATCATTAGTAATTAGAGAAATGCAAATAAAAAGCACAATGACATACCATTATATACCCAACAGAAGACCTAAAATTAACCAGACTGACAATCCTAATTATGGACCATGATGCAGAGCAACTGGAACTTTTATCCATTATTGGCAGGATTGATTGCCACTTCAGAAAACATTCTGGGGGAATTCCCTGGTGGTTCAGTGGCTAAGATTTGTAGTTCCCAATGCGGGGAGCCCAGATTCGATCCCTGGTCATGGAACTAGATTCCACATACCACAGTGAAGATTGAAGACACGACACAGTCAAATAAATAAAAAGAAAGGAAAAAGATTTTTGACATTTGTTCATCAAGTAGTAAATGGTTAAACAAACTGTAAGATAGCCATACAAATCACTACTACTCAGCAATTAAAAGGAATGAAGTATGGACGCATATAACTACAGAGATGAATCTCAGAAGCATCATGCTAAATGGAAGAAGACGGATATGAAAGAAGATATACTATATAATTATATTTATATGAAAGGCTAGAAAAGGCAAATCTGTAATGATGGAAAGCAGTTCAGTGGCTGCCAGGAACCAGGGTATATGGTTAGCACTGACTGCAAAGGGGCACAGTGAAACTTGTAGGGGTAACGGAAATATTATATAGTATATATGATTTGTCAAAACTCAGTGAAATTACCATAATACAGTTAATTTTTAAAAAATGGAAATACAGTTGATTTACAATATAATGTTAGTTTCAGGTGTACAACATAGTGGTTAAATATTTTTGTAGATTATATTCCATTTAAAGCTATAAAATAATGTCTCTATTTCTCTATTTCATCCTTGCTATTTATTTATTTTACACATAGTAGTTTGTATCTCTTAATCCCTTACTCCTATCCTGCCTCTCCTTCCTCCCTTCTCCCCACTGGTAATCACTAGTTTGTTCTCTATATCTATAAGCCTGTTTCTGTTTTATTGTATACATTCACTTGTTTTATAAAATGGCTAAGTTTTATTGAATGTAAACTATAACAATAATGCTGATTAAAAGAAATCAGTGAAGACACAAGCAGGTCATTAATGAAATAAAAAATTCAAGTGACAGACTTCTAAAACTCTAATGTTACGGTAAACTATACATTATATACTGTCATTTTTAAACCATTTACTTGATTTTAAAATGTAAAAAATGATTATAGTATCCAGTGAAGAGTAACCTGAAGTGGGCATTCCGACACACTGCTATTGGGCGAGTACAAAAGTACAACTTTCTGAGACACAAAGAAACGTGTTTTAACAGACTGAAATACATTCAGATCCTTTCAGATCAAGGCACTTGAATTCTAATAACTTATTCCTAGGAAATAACCAGGATGCAGAAAAAATTATGAACAGATATGTTTGGATAGCACTATTTATATATGCTGACTGAATTATGGTTCTTTTGTAGGATGGGATATTACTTAGTCATTTAAAATATATACATGTATGTGAGCATGCCCCTCACCCCCATACATATACAAATCTACAAAAACATAGTCACAATAGTCTCCTGGATGTAAGAAGCAACCAATTACTTATGTGGTATAAGTAATTACCACAAAATTCCCTTTAATGATTTAAGACAAGTAGACATATATCCCATGACAATGTCACCAAAAAAGTGATGTTACTCTATACCTTTATGTCACCGTCAATTTTTTCCCATTCTTCTGCTGTAAAACTGGATGCTGTTGCCGCAGGTTTATCTTTCCTCAAAGCTCTACTTCCAGGAGCCAAGCCTGAAAGGTGCTTTTCACAAAATTCAGTAAGTTCAGGATAGTATCCTTCCTCACCAGACCTTTTAAAAAATTCAGAATTTTAGAGTTACCACTTTATTTAGAGATCACGTAAACCTGTGGTTTGCAAGCTGGGTTCCACGGAGCCCAGGGGTTCCAAGGAGATCTCATGATCCGCCTCTGTACAAGGATGAAGGCTGGGCTGCTGCTTTCCCCGAACCTTCCTCAATTTCAGCAACCTCTACTTCTATATGATCTATGGAGTGTCGCAATGAAGGGGAGAAAAAGGAGCTCCAAAGACACCAATTTCCATTACACACTTTAAAAGCTGAATAAATAACATTTTCTCTCCTCTTCAACACTCACATGTTCATTTTGTACATAAGGTAATTTTAAACTTATAAATGGAAATTCATTATTAGAGAGAGGCAAAGAGTGAGACTTTGGAGTTACTTTCCAATGAGGAGTTACTATCCTAGTTCAATTTCCACCCCCAAGGGGATAGGAAGATAATGGCGGAGGAATAGTTTAGAACAACACACCTCTAAATTCAACCACTCAAGGAACAGATTTCCTTCCTCACAATTAGACAGAGACATCTGTTCTTTTTTACTTATTTTTTTTTTTTAAGGAAAATCAATCTTTTCCCTATTTTTTGTGAATCTGCTTACTTTTAAATTTTTAGAGAAATAAAAATAAATTCCATTTTCAAATTAAATTTTAAAATATAATTCCAAGTCCATACCACTTTAAAAGGCTATTCATAAAAAAAATGTTTCAAATTCTTTCATCCCATAAACTCTCATTTTCTTTACTAGTCATTGATCAAATACAAATGAAAATGTTCTCATATGTTGAGAAAAACAAAATAGAAAACAATGATATGATGAGGTTATTACCTCAACTGGCTGGTGACAAGCAGGACTGCTTAGAAAGGGCAGGAGGCTAAAGGTGAGAGGAGGAAAAAGGAAAGGACACAGAGAAAAAGAAGGTCATCAGATGAAAGAAAAGAATCACTGCTGGGTAAAAGGAATGCTATTGATGTCCTGGAAAGGGGCAGTTCATGCTCACACGTGCTTCTGTAATATGAGGCTACCCTCCAAAGGACAATCCCTCAAGAAACACCACACAGGTGGCACAGTTGGTAGGCAACAGGTCAGTGTTTCTCTTTTTAAATATTTATTTATTTACTTGGGTTTCCCAGCTGGCTCAGTGGTAAAGAATCTGTCAATGCAGGAGACTGGGGTTTGATCCTTGGGTTGGGAAGATCCCCTGGAGAAGGAAATGGCAACCTGCTTCAGTAGTCTTGCATCGAAAATGCCATGGACAGAGGAGCATGGCGGGCTACAGTCCATGGGGTCACAAAGCGTTGGACACGACTGAGCACCTGAGCGCATTTGTCTATTTGGCTGCGTCAGGTTTCAGCTGAGGCACCTTGGGATCTTTGCTGCATGTGGGATTGTTCATTGTCATATACAGACTCTCTCTAGTTGTAGTACCAGGGCTTAGTTGCTCCAAGAGCTGTGAGATCCCAGTTCCCTTATTAGGGATCATACATGTGTCCCCTCTATTGAAAGACACACTACTGGACCACTGGGAAGTCCCAGGTCATGTTTGTTGCAGAGTTCCCTTGACCACCTGCCTGTCAATCTGCCAGGGTGTTGTTGAAAACACATGTTCCTGGGCTCCGCTCCCAATTTCCTGAAGCAGAATCTCTAGGAATGGGGCCCTCAAACTAGTGATTTTTTAACCACCATATTTGGTGAATAAGAAAGTTTGACAATACGGCCACAGGGCTCTTATCCAGAAAAGGCCTTGAGTCCCTGACTTCTGGCCCTGCTCCCACCCCACCCTCCATGTGACAGCTCCTAGTGAGTCACCCACCTTTGTTGGCAGGTAGTGTGAAGTGAGACAGTGCCAAGCGCTTTATCAGCAGAAGCAAGTGCCTCCTAACAGCTGCTTTACCTTTTCCTAGAAAATGGGAGGAAGCAAGAAAAATGCTCTCCTCCCGGGATACCAATTAACCTAAGTCTGGTGCTGAAAGTTGTGTTTCAGTCCCTAAATCGTGCCTGACTCTGTGACCCCATGAACTGTAGCCTGCCAGGCTCCTCTGTCCATAGAATTCTCCAGGCAAGAATACTGGAATGGGTTGCCATTTCCTTCTCCAGGGGATCTTCCCAAACCAGCAATTGAACCCATGTCTCCTGCATTTTCTTGTGCTGGAAGTAAATCTGGCCAGAACCCTCCAAACTAACCACAAAATTAAAACCACTGTTTGGGAACCTAACATGGACCAAAAAATCAATCTCAATATTTGAAAATTTGCTCCAAAATTTCTAATGAGGCTTTGAATTTCAGAAGTCAACAATATAATTAAAATTGGCAGACTGAAACAAGATTTTTTTAATGCTTACCTGAGCACACAAAGAATTTTTTCCAAGTGTTTAACATCTGAACATTTTTCAATATACTTGAAATCCAAATGTTCGACAGGAATTTTAAATGTTTTTGTTGTCCCGAAGCCCCACAATGATGGATACTCTTTGGTGGCCATAGCTGAAATGTAGTGTAGGAAAATAGTTATGAATCTTATATAGTAAAACTCAATTTGGATAGTAGTAACCATCTAGGTATTTCTGCAATGCTTTTTTTTTCATTTCTACAGAAAAGGAGATGGAGTATTTCTTCTTTTTTTTTTTAATGTGAACCATTTTAAAAGCCTTTCATTTAATTTGTTACAACATTGCTTCTGTTTTGGTTCTTTGGCTTTAAGACATCTGGGATCCTAGCTCCCTGCCCAGGGATCAAACTGGCACCCCCTGCAAAGTCTTAACTATTGGACCACCAGGGAAGTCCCTGGAGTATTTCTTCTAAGGAAGAAGCTACTCATTGTAAACTCTGTCTATTAAGAACAGTTAGAATTCATAGGGCTAAATTACTATCTACCACACATGGATTAGCTTACTTAATCTTCACTTAAGCAAAATTGAAATATAATGACAAAGCAGGACTTGGTATGTGGAGGAAAAATATTTTTCCTCTATTGGGTTCAGTACCTGAGGCCTATAAATCACACTGACAATAGATATTAATAGGAGAAAAGGTTTATTTTACATACTCCTGGGGGCTTCACAGAAAAGTGAAAACTCAAAGAAACTGCTAGCCCTGGGAATTTATATATCATTTTAACAAAGTGTGATAAATTGTGTAAAAATGATGAGACAAAAGGAAAAGGGTTTTGGCTTCTAGAAAGTAAATATATGGAAAAACTAATGGAAGATAAAGAGTTATTTTAATAAGGTTTGTTTCTGCAGACTCACCTCAATGCTGACTGTCCATCTGCTGTGATAAGGATTGTACTCCTCACCTTGGTATGAGAGAGGAGAGGAGGGAACACCTTCATAAAGGGACATTTATGTCCTGCTTTTAGGCAGAAAAAGGGAAGGCAGAAAGAGTTTTTCTGTGTCTGCTCTTATTTGCCTTCTGCTCAAAATAATCCTTATGCCAAAGTGGCCAACTTGGGTGTAGTGTGCATATTCTGATCCTCTTTAGTGCTCAAGCTGCTTTTTTAAGGTATCCTTTAACATTTGATTTTGGTATCTCCTACTTTAGCTGTTAACATCTTAATCGTCCTTTTGACCTTTTGATTCGGTACAAACATAAACAATATACTTTCTGTAATTCTGCATAGTCTTCTTCCACATTCCCTGCCTCCTTACATTCCCAGTTGCCCACTCCCATCAATGAACAGTTTCCAGGCCTAATATGTTCTAAACGCACTCTGTACATACCTCTCTTGTACCACATAGCACATATCCAAATTCTATTTCTTTGTCTTCTCTTCTAGATTGTGAGAGATATTACTTAATTCATCTCAGAGCTTCAGAACTAATATAATAAGTAGTATCTTATATCCCTTTAGAAATATGTGCTAAACTTAACTGAATTGGGAATATGATGGCCTTGGACAGTTTCACTCTACTGACATACTGCTAATGATAGTGTCAATAACAGCAACAAATACGTAATTCTTAACGAACCTTGCATATATTATTATTTCGTTTAATCCTTTAAGTACTGTATCAAGTATGTTTTAAACAGAGACCAGTAATAACAGTTAACATTTATGAAGCTAAATTTCTATACATCATGAATTATCTCAGTCCTCAAGACCACTTTCATGAAAGATATTATTTCTTTTTCACAGATGAGGAAGGTGATGTTTCAAGTATATAAACTGCATATGGTCATATAACTATTAAGTAGTGAACTGAAGAGTTGAACCTCAGGAGGCCACTACAGAGCCCACATACTTAACTGTCATACTTAATTGTGCTTTTCAAATAACAGGTGGCAACTTATGAAATCAATTTAGTCAGCTGCAATCAGCATTCTTTTATGAGATAGAACAGGAACAAAATCAGACTACCATTAAATACAGTTTCACAGAAACTTTTATTTCATGCCTATATAAAGAAATGATAAACATAGGTATATATAAATGCACACACAAATGTGTACATAAATGTTGCAAAGTAAAATGTATACATTATGAGTTATATTGTCAAAGTTTTTTTTTTAACACTGTAATAAAACACACTGGGTGATAAATTTTAAAACAAGTAGCAATAAGTCTAATTCATTAGGAATACTCCCTTCAGCATGCCTGCCCTCTGAGTCTGGTCATACATCAGACATCTGCAGAAAAAGGATGCAATGTCAGCTTCTCCATATTGCTGCTGGCTTTGACTTGGGTACAGAATATAGCTGACAATTTGTCAGCTTTTGAATGAGGTCCAACGAAGAAGTGAGAATGTGGCTTTTACACCATGCTAGAAGGGCCCAGTAGGATGGTCTCCCATCACAAGGGTAGCCTTAATGGTGGAAGTTACAAGAAACCAAGTGAAGAACTTTAAATTATTGACGCTGCCCAGAATAGAATGAGTTGTCTGTGGGAGAATTTTTTCCGAGAGCTGGAGGATATTTGATGGGAGGACTTAAGCATCTAACAGGATTAAAAGAGATTACCTTCAATTAAAGGAATCTTGAAACCCCTGAGGTTTTATGATTTGAATAAAACATAGTGAAAAACGTTGGCAATGATAAAGACATCTCTTACCTAATTAAGAGAATTTCAACTTAAACACTTTTAACGTTTCTGAGAATTTTTTTGAAAACTACCACTTGGAGGACTGCGGTGGGGAGGATACACATTCTCAAGATCAATAAATGTTAACTCTCAAACTCCAAAACACAAGCTATGCTTTATTTGCTCCAGTTAGAACTCTTCCACATCTGCTTGCAATTTGTCTCTGATTAGGAAAAACTGTGGTCCTAGTTGGGGTTAACTTCTCCACCATCCTCACATCCATTTCCCACATTTACTCATCGGTTTGTCAGTAATACCTCCAGTGCAAACTGCAATGCGCTAGTAACAGGAAAAACTGACTTCCACCTTCGCACGTTCTTCCCAGCATCCATAAGGCTGGGCGCCACCTGCAGCCGGAGACCGAAAGGAAACGGCATCTTCCAGCCCGTAGCAACGGTTTCTATGTACAGCTCGGCCGGAGAGGACAGCGGGGTCAGGGCCTGCCCGGGATCCCGGTATGCAGCCAGCCCGCAACGGTCAGGGGGCACTTCAGGACTCTTACGAGTAATTTCTCCCTATTCCCCGGCTTGGTTCACAAGGAGTAGTAGCCGCCACCGGAGACCTTGCCGCAACATCCGCCACCTTCAGCCCCGAGAAACAAAAGGGCCCGTTTCTTTCCCCGACCGAGAAGGCTGTTCATCCCGCGCTCCCTCCCCACCTCTGAGTCTTATCTTTCACCCCCGGCCCCCGGAGGGAGGAATTGCGATGGGGACGTATAGTTTACTCCTGGCCGACAGATACTCACCTGGTTCAGACCCCAAGTCTTGCAGAGGACCCAGCCACACACTGTACCAGCCTCGCTCAGGTACCGGGGGAGGGGCGCGCCGCTCCGCCCCGTCCCTGCCCAGACCGCGAGCTTGAGGCGGACCGCCGCGGGCGGGGTTTAGAGCCTCTGCGTGACGACTGGCTAGCCTCCGGTTTGCCATCCGCTGATTGGCCTTGCAGATCCAGCTTCACTCAGACACAGGATTATTAGAGAAGTGAATTGCAATTCCACGTGCAATTTTCTTTTCACACACTTTATGGTTTTTTTCTGGTCACAATTGTGTACAGAAAAAATCAAGCTGAATAAACAAGCAGGATAAAAACTAACTCGAAAAATAATAGACTATGTTGGCAAATTAAAAACATCACTATCATCTACAGAAAGACATTCCATCCAAGAATATACAGATGAATTAGAGAGTAAACGTGAAATCTTTCACAGAACAGATAAAGAAAAAAAAAGGTAAAAAAGATGAAAAAGTTAGGTCAATTAGTCTAACACTTGATTTAAAAGATCTAGAGAGAGAATACTGAGGAATAGTTCAGTCGCTCAGTCGTGACCGACTCTTTGTGACCCCACGAACCGCAGCATGCCAGGCCTCCCTGTCCATCATCAACTCCCGGAATTTACCCAAACTCATGTCCATTGAGTCAGTGATGCCATCTAACCATCTCATCCTCTGCTGTCCCCTTCTCCTGCCCTCAATCTTTCCCAGCATCAGGGTCTTTTAAAATGAGTCATCTGTTTGCATCAGGTGGACAAAATATGGGAGTTTCAACTTCAACATCAGTCTGAACACCCAGGACTGATCTTTAGGATGGACTAGATGGATCTCCTTGCAGTCCAAGGGACTCTCAAGAGTCTTCTCCAACACCACAGTTCAAAAGCATCAATTCTTTGGCACTCAGCTTTCTTTATAGTCCAACTCTCACATCCATACATGACTACTGGAAAAACCACAGCCTTGACTAGACAGACCTCCGTTGACAAAGCAATGTCTCTGCTTTTTAATAAACTGTCTAGGTTGGTCATAGCTTTTCTTCCAAGGAGTAAGCGTCTTTTAATTTCATGGCTGTAGTCACCATCTTCAGTGATTTTGGAGTCCCAAAAATAAAGTCAGCCACTGTTTCCCCATCTATTTGCCATGAAGTGATGGGACCACATGCCATGATCTTAAGTTTTCTGAATGTTGAGCTTTGAGCCAACTTTTTCACTCTCCTCTTTCACTTTCATCAAGAGGCTCTTTTGTTCTACTTTACTTTTTGCCATAAGGGTGGTGTCATCTGTATATCTGAGGTTATTGATATTTCTCCTGGCAATCTTGATTCCAGCTCGTGCTTCTTCCAGCCCAGTGTTTCTAATTGTGTACTCTGCATATAAGTTAAATACGCAGGGTGACAATATACAACCTTGACGTACTCCTTTTCCTATTTGGAACCAGTCTGTTGGTCCATGTCCAGTTCTAACTGTTGCTTCCTGACCTGCATACAGGTTTTCCTGTATAGCAAGTCAGGCGGTCTGGTATTCCCATCTCTTTCAGAATTTTCCACAGTTTATTGTGATCCACACAAAGGCTTTGGCATAGTCAATAAAGCAGAAATAGATGTTTTTCTGGAACTCTCTTGCTTTTTCGATGATCCAGCGGATGTTAGCAATTTGACCTCTGGTTCCTCTAACTTTTCTGAAACCAGCTTGAACATGTGGAACTTCATGGTTCACGTATTGCTGAAGCCTGGCTTGGAGAATTTTGAGCATTACTTTACTAGTGTGTGAGACGAGTGCAATTGTGCAGTAGTTTGAGCATTTTTGGCATTGCCTTTCTTTGGGATTGGAATGAAAACTGACCTTTTCCAGGCCTGTGGCCACTGCTGAGTTTTCCAAATTTGCTGACATACTGAGTGCAGCACTTTCACAGCATCATCTTTTAGGATTTGAAATAGCTCAACTGGAATTCCATCACCTCCACTAGCTTTGTTTGTAGTGATGCTTCCTAAGGCCCCACTTGACTTCACATTCCAGGGTGTCTGGCTCTAGGTGACTCTTGAGAGTCCCTTGGACTACAAGGAGATCAAACCAGTCCACCCTAAAGGAGATCAGTCCTGGGTGTTCATTGGAAGGACTAATGCTGAAGCTGAAACTCCAATACTTTGGCCACCTGATGCGAAAAGCTGATTCATTTGAAAAGACCCTGATGTTGGGAAAGATTGAGGGCAGGAAGAGAAGGGGATGACAGAGGATGAGATGGTTGGATGGCATCACTGTCTCAATGGACATGTGTTTGGGTAAACTCCAGGAGTTTGTGATGGACAGGGAGGCCTGGCGTGCTGCAGTTCATGGGGTTGCAAAGAGTCAGACACAACTGAGCGACAGAACTGAACCAAATACAATCACCTGTGTAGAAACTGTAATGGTGTGAATAGCTAACATTTATTACATTAAGAGTTTTTATTGAGTATTTTATCTTGTAGCCAATGTTTGGGGTAGGTGCTACAGTGCATTTTTTCATGCCCATCTTACAAATAAGGAAAGTGAATCCTGGTAAAGTCACTGCCATCTAACAAGGACTCTGCAGGTGTATGTGTTATTAATTTCTTAACTTCAACAATTAAGCTGAAGTAAACTGGCCAGTAAATGAGCAGGGCTGGATTTGAACCAATTTCCACATATTTTTGATGAACCTGTGTGTCTGGTAAGCAGTTTAAATAGGGAACAAGTTATGTGTTAGCTTCAAGCTCAGATTTACTGATTTTTATATTCATAGACCACTATTCAAAAGGATTTTTTAAAAGCAATTTTATATCTATTTTACCTTTTCTACAACTGTCCAGGTAGGCAAGAAGTAAAATTACTTCCCATTTTATAAATGAAGGGGACACAAGGAGGTAACTGTGGCAGAATCACAGAATTATGAAAGCTACGGTCTAGGAAAACCTGGACCAAGGAAGCACCCTTTAAAATAATTGAGTACAGTAGTGCTATATAGCACATAATTAATTTATAGAACTTAGTATTTAAGGATGGCAGTAGAAATAACAGGTGCTTCTTTTAAATGGCACAGTTAATTCTCTGAATGTCAGAGACACACAAAGCTATCAATGAAGTTTATCTAATCAAATTCTGGAACAGATGGAGTATCTGAGTATCCATTTGCCTAGTTATCAAAGCAAAAGCTTTAAACATTCATCCAATAATTAAGCGTAAACCAACTTTTTTTTAATATGCTGAAAGTAGAATTTCTTTTTACTTTAATGAATAATTACAATTGGGAAACCACACCTGCCTTAACAGTCTGCTTCATCCACTTTACTTGGGATTGATTTTGTCTTACAGAAAGCAACCATCAAAGTTTCTTTTCCCTTGCCCAAGATTTTAAAAAGTCAACCATTACATATAAATACAGAAAGGCCAATGCCAAGTTAACAAATGAAAACTGTAACTCAAAATAAGGTATGCACATTGACAGTAAGTGCATTGGAATACTCTATACAAAATGATGCTGGAGAGTTTACAAACAATTGGTGATGTAAAACAGAGGCTTCCTAAGAACTTACTTAATCAGACCTTTAAAGAGCCCTAGAAAACTTCATTTTTAACAAGGGTCCCAGATGATTCCAGGTTTTGATTAAAGTGTAGTTTGGGAAACATATTTAACCTCCATTGAGTGTCAGATTACATATACAATAAAATTAAAATACAAACCATGTAACTGAACAAAAAATAATATCTTTATATAAGCTATTAATAGGTATCTAAATACAATATGGTTTTTAAAAATGAAATCATGTGTGTATAGTTGTATTTATAAAGTACACTAATCAAAAACTATACAACATTAACAACAAATCCAAATAAAAATGAAGATATTCCTCTGAATTTCATGTTTCACCGAGCATCAAAAACCACCACTGTAATATACCAAGTTAAGGACATAAAAAAGTACATTAAAATTTTAGTACTTCCAAGTCACTTTCTCTTTGCAATAATCTATTTATTTAATCTAAAATGTTATTTTAGATCTATTTAATCTAAAATGCACAAAAGAATAAAACTCACTATCTACTGATGAGAAGTAAACTAAAAAATAAACTATTTTAATTATTAGCCCTCTTTCCATGATACAGAAGACCAATGCACCAAGAAACTAAAGCAATTAAAATTAAAAGCAATAATTTACTGTTCTAAAAAATACTGTCAGTTATTACATAAGAATTTACTTTGTCTTTCAGCTAATTTGTAAGTCTCACTTTTGCCATTAGGTAGCATAAAAACTCACTATTTGCAGTTCCCCTTGTAATAATTTAGTTGGTTCATAAACTGAAGCTCAGGAATGAGTATGTATATAGAATTGCTGAAAAATACACTTACGAAAGCCAAACTCAACTAGCATTTAGATTACTTGGTATACGTCTACACACCGAAGTATTGTCAAAGAAAATGATAAATATGTTTTTCGGGTTTTTTTGGTAAGTAATCCAAGTTGTTACCATTTTCACAAGCAATTAGTCTTTGACTATCAAACCAGGCATTATTCTTCACTTGCTCCCATCTCATACCTAAGAAGCACAGTTAAAAGGATACATCTTTTAGTCCTTTTCTTGTACATTATTCTGTATCCACATTCTCTGCATCGGATTGGATCCCTTGATTTTATTTCATTTTCTGTGTGACATTCTAGAAATGAAAACACATTTATTTATTCAATGCCTAAAAGAGAAATTATTACAGACAAGCATATTATCTTGACCATATTTTTCATCCAACACACTAAAATACAAATACTCAATCTCAAGGATGTGTAGCTATTACCAATAAGCTAAAGGAGAAAGAAAAAAAGAGTGGTTGGCAAGGCACTTTTCCTAGAAGAGGAAATGAAAAGTTAATGAGAGGATTTTTTTAAAGATTGCTAAAGCTGTTCTGCTTTCTAACTTTAAAGATAAAGATGAACGACTCACTTAAGTCAAAGACAAATACACAATTCTTTTTTTTTTTTAACCGAGTTTAAATACTCTTACTTTGTGTTACTCTTACCTCCACAGATATATATCATTGGCTGCTGCTTTGGGGGTTGAACGTCCTTTTGGGTGTCCATTGTTGTCCCTGAAATCGGAGACTCAAATATTTAATTTCTCAAAATGGGGCCCTCATAAATCCAACCAGGAATCACTTTTCCGAGGGAAAGCTAAAAAGGTCCCAATTTCTACTCAGTACTTTGTTTTAAAATCCTATGGCTGGGTCTAAAGGACGAAACAAACAAAAAACGTGTTGCGCATTTACCCCCAAATTGTACTCTTATTTTACAGATGAAGGAACTCAGGTTTAGGGAACTTCATTTGGGCAGGATTACTCAGCAGCAATGCAGGAGACCCGGGTTCAATCACTGTGTCGGGAAGATCCCCTGGAGTAGAGAATGGCAACCCAATCCAGTATTCTTGTCTGGAGAATTCCATGGACAGAGGAGTCTGGCAGGCTACAGTCCATGGGGTCGAGAAGAGTGGGACACGACTGAGCGACTAACACACACAGCTGCAGAGTTAGGGAGATTTAGATCTGATTGCAAAGCCCGCGTCTTCATTTAACAAGTTATATTTTTCCAAAATTTAGCAGGAGATCGTAAAAGAAAAAAAAAATTACCTCTCTCAACGGGAGAACATGCGAACCGAAGACAAGGGAAGAATAAATAACTCCCCGAAGCTAGTCAACAGTTAAACAGGGAAACAACCCAAGAGCTAAACGGGCAAAGGACTAACAGTTTCGACTCTATCCCCAGCCTCTCCCGACTCTAACCCTTACACTAGACCTCTTTAGACCTTATTGTCTTTTCAGTTTGGGCCCAAATTCCCACCTTCAAATCCCAAACGGCCAAATCCCTACTCACGTAACACGGAGAAAACTTGAGGCCTCTCCAAACAGATTCCGACTCGCCTCTGAACCGCGGCCAACTTCCGGCGCTCGCTTCTGACGTGTCAGGGTCTCCGCCCCTTCCGTTCCGGGCGTGGCTGAGGAACCTGGATTGAACCGAGGCGGGTGAAACGGGTCCTTTGGTGTTTTCGAGTCTAGTCGAAACTGCTTATTTCCCTCCTAGCTGTTTTCATTTTTCAGGAAAGCAAAGCACTTTAGCAGCACGTTAGCAGTCCAGGGAGGTTTTTTTCTCTGACAAATGAAGTCTGCAGAAAGGAACATTTTTCTAGGCGGGCAGAGGGTTAGAAGAGAAACCCCAGTGAAGTGCACGTGGAGTACTAGGCTGACCGTTACTCCGAGGAACGTAGAAGAATCGGCTCCACCGCGGATATCCACGTAGAAAAGCCCTTTTCAGACTACGTGTTTCGAATCGTTTGCTATTTGTGCCGGGGCAGTGGAGAACCCGCTCGGTCGCTATTCTTCATATAATTTCGTTTTTGCTTTTCGACCCTTTCTCTCCTAGGCGCTCGTTTTCTCTCTGACTCACACATTTTACTTGTGGGCAGCTACGTCAGTTGCTCCCAGTTAAAGCTAAGGGATTTAGGTAGTGGTAGCTGTCCACTCGGAGAAGGCAATGGCACCCCACTCCAGTACTCTTGCCTGGAAAATCCCATGGACGGAGGAGCCTGGTAGGCTGCAGTCCATGGGGTCGCTAAGAGTCGGGCACGACTGAGCGACTTCACTTTCACTTTTCACTTTCATGCATTGGAGAAGGAAATGGCAACCCACTCCAGTATTCTTGCCTGGAGAATCCCAGGGACAGAGGAGCCTGGTGGGCTGCCGTCTGTGGGGTCGCACAGAGTCGGACAGGACTGAAGCGACTTAGCAGCAGCAGCTGTCCACTGACCCTCCTTTTGTCCCCTGTATTCATTCCTCCTTAGAAGAACAAGAAGACTTGACCAGTGAGGCCGTGTACTTTCAAAGGTCAAAATTTTAATGAAATTGAATGGTTGGATTCACAACGTTTGCCTCTTTCACAGTAATAGCTTACGGTGAGCGATGTCGGATTTGTGGTCTCCGAAGAAGATTTAGCATGGGCATCAGGAACCAGGCTTCAGACACTCAGAACTTGGTGTGGCAGAAGTTTCATTACGGTGAAAAAGGACAGAAAGCTTCTAACATAGACATCAGAAGAGGGGATGGAGAGTGTCCCCCTCGCTAGTCTTAGCAAGGGAGCTATATACTTCCTCAGTTGGTTGTTACAGTAAATCAAAAGGATGTCTCAAGGTTATAAAGGTCTTACCAGATCCATTCCTACAACTTACATTTTAAAATAATGGGATAACATTTTAAAATAACATTTTTAAAATAATGGGCTTCCTTTTGTGGCTCAGACAGTAAAGAATCCGCCTGCAATGTGGGAGACCTTGGTTCGATCCCTGTGTTGGGAAGATCCCCTGGAGAAGGGAAAGCTACACATTCCAGTATTCTGGCCTGAAGAATTTAGGCCATGGGGTAGCAGAGTCCTGACAGGACTGAGCTATTTTCACTTTCACTACACAGAGCTTACCAGACCCACTCCCACAACATACATTTTAAGATGACAGGATAGTCAGAAGTTTTTAAGGAGAAACATGTCCAACAGGATACATTGTTGTTTTATAATCATTGGTAAAGAGTTTAAGGAAAAACATATCCTTGAGCAAGATGAGTTGTTTGTTGTGTAATTATTAGCTCTGGGCTTAAAGAAAAAAATATTTTATATGACTATGTTGAAGGAATGTAGGAAAGAAAAATTTGTCCTTTTCTCCTCCTTGAGAGCCCCAGACCTCCTTCTCTTCCCTCTCCTCCTTCCCCTCTCCTCCTCCTTCTGAATCAACCTACCTAAGAATTAGCACTCTCAACAGCAAGTATTTATATCAGAAAGGGGAAGAAGAAAATGAAGTTATTAAAATTTGGAAAATAAACAGTTGTTAATAACTATTGTAGTTAATCTGAGAAGCAGGTTTCTTTCTCCCCAACATCTACTACTTTGGTTTCTTATTGAAAGTAAAAGTTGCTCAGTCATGTCCGACTCTGCAACGCCATGGACTATTACAGTCCATGGAATTCTCCAGGCCAGAATACTGTAGTAGGTAGTCTTTCCCTTCTCCAGAGGATCTTCCCAACCCAAGGATCGAACCCAAGTCTCCCACATTGCAGGTGGATTCTTTACCAGCTGAACCCTGGTCTCCCATTTTGCAAGTGGATTCTTTACCAGCTGAGCCACAGGGAAGCCCAAGAATACTGGAGTGGGTACCCTGTCCCCTCTGCAACAGATCTTCCTGACCCAGGAATTGAACCAGGGTCTCCTGTATTGCAGGTAGATTCTTTACCAACTGAGCTATGAGAAAAGCCTCTATTGATTTCTTATTAAGCAGGCTCTATTGCTTTTCTCTCTCCCATTCAGCAACTTGGGAACATTGAGCCTGATCTTTCATTTTCAGAAGGAATTAATTGGTTGCACCTCCACAGACCAACTTGGGACTTAACTTTCTGGGTTTTCTTAGAGGCCGATTTTTAAATATCAGTTCAGTCGCTCAGTCATGTCCAACTCTTTCCAACCCCATGAACTGCAGCACACCAGGCTTCCCTGTCCTTCACCAACTCCTGGAGCTTGCTCAAACTCATGTCTATTGAGTCAATGATGCCATCCAACCATCTCATCCTCTGTCATCCCCTTCTCCTGCCTTCAGTGTTTTCCAGCATCAGGGTATCAGTCCTCCAGTGAATATTCAGGACTGATTTCCTTTAGGATGGACTGGTTTGATCTCCTTGCAGTCCAAGAGATTCCCAAGAGCCTTCTCCAACACCACAGTTCAAAAGCATCAATTCATCAGTGCTCAGCTTTCTTTCTAGTCCCAACTCTTACATCCATACATGACTCCTGGAAAAACCATAGCTTTGACTAGACGGACCTTTGTTGGCAAAGTAATGTCTCTGCTTATTAATAAACTGTCTAGGTTAGTCACAGGTTTTCTTCCAAGGAGCAAGTGTCTTTTAATTTCATGGCTGCATTCACCATCTGCAGTGATTTTGGAGCCCAGGATATAAAAGTTTGTCACTGTTTCCATGTTTCCCTGTCTATTTGCCATGAAGTGATGGGACCAGATGCCATGATCTTAGTTTCTTGAATGTTGAGTTTTAAGCCATTTTTTTCACTGTCCTTTTCACTTTCATCGAGAGACTCCTTAGTTCCTCTTTGCTTTCTTCCATAAAGGTGGTGTCATTTGCATATCTGGGATTATTGATATTTCTCCCTGCAATCTTGATTCCAACTTGTGTGTCAGCATTTCACCTCATGTACTCTGCATATAAGGTGAATAAGCAAGATTAAACTATACAGTTTCTTACTCCACAGACAGGCTAAGATAGAACATAAATATTTTTTTATCAGCAGCTGTCTTACAAAGTGCCTCCCCCTCTTAGCCAAAGGGAAGAGGTAACTCAATAGAGCACTGAAGAATTGATGCTTTTGAACTGTGGTGTTGGAGAAGACTCCTGAGAGTCCCTTGGACAGCAAGGAGATCCAACCAATCCACCCTAAAGGAAATCAGTCCTGAATATTCATTAAAAAGACTGATGCTGAAGCTGAAACTCCAAACTCCTCACCACTTGATGCAAAGAATTGACTCATTTGAAAAGACCCTGATGCTGACAAAGATTGTAGGTGGGAGGAGAAGGGGACGACAGAGGATGAGATGGTTGGATGGTGTCACCAACGTGATGGACAGGAGTTTGAGCAAGCTCTGGGAATTGGTGATGGACAGGGAAGCCTGGCGTGCTGGAGCCCATGGGTGAGCAAAGAGTCAGACATAACTGATGAATGAACTGACTGAAGAAATATTAGGTAAAACTATTGTCATCATAAGAGAAAGGTTATTGAGTGATCCAGAAAATGTACCTTTGTGCCTTTTTAAAAACAAAAAATGTTTTTTAAGAGGTGTGGCCCACATCATACAGCATGGAGGGTCTTAGTTCCCTAACCACGGATGAAAAATGTGTCTGCTGCACTAGAAGCACCAATTCTTAATAACTAGACTGCCTGGAAAAGTGTAACTTTAGTCATTGCAAACTGACTTGGATTCTGATTCCGCAGCTTGAGGTATTAAGATAATGGATCCTCAAAAATGGATCAACACATGTAGAATA